CCCAAAAAATTTTTTTTCCCCCCCCCCCCCCCCCCCGCCCGGGGAAAAAAACATCCCCCCGTCTGATTCCTATAAATTCAGGAAATCCCGGCCATTTTGTCACTCTCCTTTCTACAGAACTTTTTAGAAAATTTATTTCTGCACAAGGGTCCCTAAATTTTGCAAGAAGCGTTTCTGGGTAAAATTCTTGTACTCTGAATTCTGAAAAGCTATAGAAAGATTTTTTTTTTTTCAGGCATCTCATAGATTCAACTTGCTGCAAAAGAGAGGTTTTTTATAATATAAATCTCTATGGTTTTATGCAGAAACGTATATATTGTGTTTTTGTGTGCAGTTGTTCTTAGCTGTTGTTTTATTATGTACATATATGTCTTAATTCTGCATTCCTTGTTGATTTTCTTGTACTCTGTGCTGTTGTTTATTTATTTATTTATCGTTTTTTGAAGCACTAGATGATTTGCAAATTTTTGCTTGCAAGTTTATTTTTCTTTTTAAGGGTGGGTCCATGGGGGAGAGGGATATAAGTTTTTCACTTGTATGATTCTGAAAGAATGAAAGAACATTTCTACTATTTGAGGAGTGTGCTGTTAAATCTGTTGAATTGCTTGGAATTGATGCCTGTTTTCTTAAAAAGATGATACTGAGTCCATCTGAAGCATTTGTTGATTAATTTTTTTTTTTTGCTTGCCTCATAAAAGAGGAAAAGAAATGAGTTTCCACTTTCAATAAACATTGGAATCTTTTATGAAAACTTAAAGAAGCTACGAATGATAAAATACAGGGTTTCAATTGCTATACTTAATTTCAGATGTCTGCTTAAATTATTTAAAGGATTTTGCTTTGGGACTTTCTTTTGTAAAACTGCCCTTAGGGATCTAACAGGGCTATGGTTTTATGGTTGACTGACTGTGCGGACTACCTCAACTCCACAGTGACAGAACTTTGGTTACCATCTTGCTTACTTAAAATGGTTGTAAATGGGGTTTCAATTTCGGTTTGGTGGCCCGTGGTTTTCTATATACTGTTATTTAGTTTGTCGGTCCCTGTTGTTGCCTTTGCCTTCTCTTACTTAACCTTATTAACGTGTTTCCATTCAGTCATTCCTGTTCAAAATGATCTAACAGAAACATGCAATGGATTAAATCATGACTTTTATAAACTCACAGAAAATGGTAATCCTGTCAAAAGATGCTTTTTTATGTATTCATTTTACTTTTCCCTACTTCCTTTTAAACTTTTTTTGGCTCTCACACTTGTATGAAAATTTAAATCGATGCAGAAAGTCGCATTTAGTTGAATGGATCTTGCTAATTAGGGTTTCTTAAGAATTAGTTATATCATTTGTCGGGTTATGTTTTGCATTTATTGCTTTTCCGTTATTTTCAGTTATGCTCATTTGAAATGTTTATCCATAAAAATTTACGTGGTCATTAACGTATGGTTGTTTACGAATATATTTGTTGCCCTCCGAAGTTTGTCAATCTAGTTTGTAAGGATTTGTTCCCCTTTTGATATTTGTGAAGCTATTGATGGAATTCATCAAATTCGTTACTCGATAGATTTTTAATCCACATTATTGCTATTGCTGCATCATTCGTTTTTGGATTGTACGTGTATTGGTCTGCTTAATTACATTTCTTATTCTGAACTCAGTTTTCTGGTGTACTAGTTTTTCATTGACAAATACGACATTTCTAGAATGGAATGTAATAAAGATGACGCTATTAAGTGTAAAGGTCTTGCTGAGAAGAAAATAAAGAATCAGGACATTGTCGGAGCCAATAAATTTGCTTTAAAAGCTCAAAGTCTATTTCCAAATCTTGAGGGGCTTTCTGCATTATTGGAGGTCATTAACCTCTACGTTGCCTCTCAAAAGAAAATAAATGGAGAAGTAGACTTGTATGGGATTTTCGGTCTGGATTCCTCTGTCGATGATGATACACTGCGTAAAAAATACAGAAAAATGGCTCTGGTCTTTCACCCAGATAAAAACAAGTCTGCTGGGGCTGCTGGAGCATTCCTCATTCTTTCTGAAGCATGGAAAGTCCTGTCAGATAAGGACAAGAGATCTGCATATCATCTGAAGCTGAATTTAAGAGCTCGGAATCCTACATTTCCAGCGGATAGAAACAGTTTTTGTAATTTCACCAGCAGCTGCAGCTCACAGAATGCGAGGAATATGTCGACTGATACCAAGCCCCAGCAGATGCCAACTAAGTCAAGGACTTCAGCTACTGCTACCAGTTCACCTTACAATCCTCCACTCTGGCCAAAGAATTCAAGAGATGCAGCTGCTTCCCGACATGTTCCCCGTCCTAAAAGAACTGAAAAAGGAGCCACCAGTTCTCGGTATGCTGCAACTCCACCAAGGCCAAGGAATCCGAGAACTGCCACCACTGCCCTGAATATTCCCAATAGTCAGAAGACTTCCAAAACTGGCACCAGATCGTTCGTTCGCACTCCATCCCAGCCAAGGAATCGGACAACTGCCCAGCACACCCCTACCAGCAATCCTCATGCGATCCCTTGTCCTCCACCAGGACCTGAAACATTTTGGACATCATGTACTAGTTGCAGGTTGCAATATGAGTACCCGAAGATTTATCTCAACCAAAATCTTCTGTGCATCTCCTGTCGAGAGGCCTTTTTTGCAATACAGAAGCCTGCCCCCCCAGCTGGAAGTATTCACAGTTCACCTGGTTGTTGTGCCTTACACCATCAGAAGACAGGTATGTCTGGCGCATCTGGGAATTCTGGAAGTGTGACAGCTTCATATATCATAGCCGCTCAAATTGCACAGAGGGTCCAGTCAGGTTTTGAGGGTCTCAAGAGAGGGCGTGAAGAGGTAGTAGCTATGGCAGGGAGTGAGGAGGCTCTACAGAAGAATAACATTGCCCCGGACACAACTGATACTCCCTCAGCTTCTGAGAAGCCTATGAATAAGAGGCATGTAGATGGACAGAAATGGAACGATGCCAAAGAAGGAAACCCATTGACGGCACATAATATGGCTGCCCATAAAATTTCTCTGGAAATCTGAAGGCAATTTGGAGGATATGCCTGAATGTGAAAGAATAACCCGGATAATGACGGCTATTAGGCTATTAGAGTACCATGTCTGGTATTTTTTTAGTTACTTTCACATTTTGGAACTGGAGACTGACAATAGAGTAGGCTGTGAAGTGATGAAAGTTGTTGAAAACCTTGATTACATGTTTTGAAGAGCACATAATAGTAGCAGGGACTAAAAAGGAGCTATATTTTGTTTCTTAAAACATGCATCGATAGTTGCTGAAACCATAAGTATCAATGAAGCTTGTTTTGGCCAGTAAAGTCCGATTTCTTAACCCACGTACAAATGCATTGTAGTGTGGAATCCTTACTGATAATATAGTACTGTGAAAACATTATATTGCATATGAGCATATGCTTCACATGTGAACGTTGATGGTCATTTCATCAAGATATTCATCAGCCTCCAAATGCATTACATTCTAATTTGTACAAATTTCGTTGATAAACTTTCAGATTGATCATGGAATTTACTTTAATCTGTTATCAAGAAGAGAGGTAGATTATTCTTTTCCTCATAAAATGAACACTTGCTGATGCATATGCTGTGTCTGCCATAAGATGGGATTGTGCACTTCCTTAAAGGATAATCTTGGCCTTCTATTAGCTGGTCGTAATTTCAGGTACATGAGGAGGGTTGTAATAAGTTGACTTGAACTCTAAAACTGTGTCAAATCTTATAAAGATGAATTAATAAACAATTCTGTCAAGTCATTGAAAAATGGTGGAAGATGGGGGGGGGGGGGGGGGAGAGGTTAAGAAAGAAAATATGAAGTCAAGAATCATTAGGAAGATTGACACAAGACACATGTATAGGTAATCTAGCAAGCCAAGAATAGCAAATGTTTTAGTACTTGACCATAAAAAATTTAAGGAAAATAATTATTCTGATTTCAAAACCAAGTTAGCTAATGCATTTTGGGCATCATCTCTTTATGTCCAAAAACTCGAAAGTTTAAAGTCTAATTCTGAAAGTTTAAGGCTTGCTGCTTTTGCCATTCACTTTAGAAACAGTCCACCCGGTGGGTTTCTTAAACTTTCTAGTTTCGAGTGTCTTCTTGGAAATGGAATTTGTTTACTGAACGATACAAAATGATCTTAAACATTGAATATTCCATAGAACTGAGATCAATGGTAATCCATTTCAAGAAAGCTTGTCTATTATAAAAGGAGCATACTGCATATACATTAAGGAACCATGCTACTTGACTGCTTTATCGTGCTTCTAATAGTTATGTTACGTACTAAAATTCAACCAAAGTGAATATTGTTTAAATTTTAAATTATCTTACATGCCTATTTTGGAAGTGTGTGATACACTGATATGCAAGTGCAGATGTGCTTCTTGTACATATCTATCGATTAAGAGTGAACCTGCAACTTTATCTTTAGTCCCGTTTGATCTGCACTGGAAATGTGTTCCAGGCACGAGGACGAGGGCATTTGGTAGCTTTTTCACCCTACATTAGCTGGTTCATTGTCTTTATTCTGAAGCACCAAAAACAAGGATATGCTTGTTACCTGCACTTTTTCTAAAAGTTGAAACAAATATCTGTCTATTTGGTTTCAAGTTCTTTATTTTTCCAGAAGTGATTGTGCTGTGAAGGGTTTCACATGTATTTCAGTTTTTGAGATGATGTTCATGTGAAACATTGAACAGGATAATCACATTATGATTCCTTATTTGTTGTTACAATATTTTATCCTTAATAACAAAGTTTTTGAGTATTTTTAGCATTCGAATTATGTTGTTAATACTGCTAATTAGCTTTATCTTATTGAAATCCTCGAAGTTGGAAGTACAGAACATCCTTTGACATCTGATGTATGAAAACAAAAGGTTTTATGATTTATTTTGCCAACCGTATGCTGCTAAGCTCATTTCTGCTGGTAGAGTATTAAAATTGGACAATGACGTATGACTTGCATCAAAGGATGAAAGTTGATCTCATCTGGTGCAAGGTTCACATACACCAGATAATTTCTCTTGCAACAAAAAACGAGAGCTACATTCGGTGATGACAACTAGTGTATTTTGTGGGAGCCTTTGGTGATGACAGCTCGAATGTGCGTCGTGTGGATCCCGCTCTCATTAACCATGCCATGGAATAAATGAAATTGATTTATAATAAAACTTAGATTATAATGATCGTAAATAAGTTTGATATTAATACTATAACATGACTTTTATTATGAAATATGGTTCCATAGAGTCAATAAAAAATACGACATTACGATTGTTTGCTTAAAATGGTCGAGCAAGAGTATATAATTCAATATCTCGTGTTTTCAAAAGGAAATAAATAATTTTAAAAAATCATTAAAATGTGAACAGAAAAGGGAAAATTTATTTAATGCAATTGTTGCAGTAAATCTAACTTACAGACATCAATTGAAATTAACATTGGTTAAAATTTAACCATGGTTAGGGTTTAACTTTAAATTGCCTCAAACAATCCAAAAAAACAAAAAGTGGCTCTTTAACTGCAAAAAATTGGTGGCATTGTCATACACTCCTTCCATCTGCAGTTTCTTTCACAGTTTTACATCAAACAAATTTTTGGGTTTCCAAAATTTAACGAGAAGATTTTGTTCTGCTAAAATTTTTTGGATCCAGGGTGCTAAAAAAAAGGTGTAAAATCATTGTTTCATCATTTTTCTTTTGCAACAAATTAATCAAACGGCGCCTCGATTTTAGATTACTACTGAAGGGGGTACAATTTTATTTATGTTGAAAGTTTTCTGTATGTATCTACATATACATGTACTCCATTGCCGTTTGATCATTTATACGTGTCCATATATATATTTATTCATAGAGCTCGGAATGTTGATTGCATGTTTATTGATGACATGGGAATTCAGGGGTTATAGTCAAATTGCTACATTTGGTGATTTTGCATGTGAATTTTGACCATTATAAATCTTTATTTTATGGGTTTTTCGAATTTTGAATTTACATTCCAATTCAAGTCGTTTGTATATAAAATAATTATGCTTTTTCCTTTTCCTTTCAGAGAAACTTCGCTATCACTGAGGATTGGAATCTTTTGTGCTCACTCAAATATCAGGTATGGATCACTGGTTATGTTTGAACTATTTGATGGGTGTTTCTGTTGCTTTTGTTTCAATTGCTTGGATATTCTTTTAAGAACAGAAACTATTTTTGAGCTTCATATGAAGCATTTATTGAATCATAATCTTTGCTTGCATTGTAAAAAGGGAAAAGAATTGAGTTTCTACTGTAGCTGAAAATTGGATCTTTCAGGAAAACTTGAAGGGTTTTTAAATGATGGATACAGTGCATCAATTGGTCATTTTCTATATGCCAATACACATATGAGTTCTTGTGAAGGTTGCTGATATCTGTTTGAATCATTTAAAGGATATTGTCTTTTCCTTTCTATTATGTTAGGGTAGAATATATATGTGTGTGGATATAGCTTTTTGCGGAGTTTTGAAGCCTCTTTGGCACGGGGTTTCAGTGTTCGGTAATTTAGTTTGTTGGTTTTGTTGATGCCTTGGATTGCTCTCATATGATGTCATTAAGATGTTTCTATTAAATTAATCAAAATGGGCAATGCATTAAGTCGTGATTTTATAGAAGTCACAAAAATTAAATATCCTGCCTGTCAAACAATGCATTTTTTATTTTTATTTTTATTTTTTTTTCAGAGCCATTTTTCTTTCCGCTGCATTCTCCACATCTTTTGGCTTTTCAGACTTGTATGGAACCAATGCAGAAAGACACGTTCAACTTTTTGGATCTTACCAATTAGGATATCCTTAAAAATTAGTATCATATTTTGTCGGATTATGTTATTGGCTTGTAGCTTTTAATGCTTCCTTTATTTTCAGTTACACTCAATAGAATGCGTATTACATAATGAATATAGATGTTCTTACAATTGCGATTGCTTCCAAATGTATTGCGGCGTTCAGAAGTTTGGCAATGTAGTTTGTCTGTTGCTGTTTCCCTTCTGATGTTTGCAAGGCTTATTCACATCAATTGTAATGATAATATGTGTGTGTATGTCTATTTATCCATTAGGGCATGCTACTACTTATCTATGCATGTGTGTATGTATTTAGTTCCTGACATGTATTATTGATTTCTTTGACTTCTTGACTTGTATAATTTTCATAAATCGTGATATCTTAGATTTCTTCTACTGTTGATTCAGGCTTCGGCTAGTTCAGATCCACTTCTTCGAAATTCCAACATCTAATTAGTCAGTTCTTTTTTTTCTTTTGTTCCTTTTGTTTGGACCAGAAGTCTTGTAGACTTCTCTAGTAATAAGTTGAATCATGGAGTTTTTTGAAACATGAAAGTCAAAATTTACTTAAAAGATGCACATATCCTGCGATTTCATGCCTGGATTTTCTTTTTCAAAGGAAAAAAATAACAGAATTTCTTCTGGCCTCTGTTAGTTTTAGGGTGCCTTTCCTGTAAGCCCATTCCTGGTTACTGGATTGCATACTTTGTCCACTTCTTTTAGCTACCATTTTTCAGTATTTAGATGTTTTTAGATGATAAATTGAATATCAAATCCTTTTTAAGCACAGAATATAGATCTTTGAACAAAAGAGACATTGAATTGCATAATTGGAATTGGCATTTAAGTCATTAAAATTATTTGAATACCTGATTGGTGGTTTCATTAACTTTTTGATACGAAGATGCATTCATTCGCATATTTTCCTAGCCTTTAAAAGTGGCTTCTTCAGATTTTGGTGATTTTTTGTCTGTTTTTACTGTTTCCTTTCGAGTTTGAAGTCATTATTTGTGAGATTAGAGAGTCCCCATTATATATTCATGCTTTATTATTATTTCTTGCTAATGTTGATTGATCCTTAGAAATATACTTATGCTAAGTGTGTTTCTTATGTTGAACAAAATTCTTCTGGTGTACTAGGTTTGCGGAGACAAATAGGAGAATATCTAAAATGGAATGTAATAAATATGAGGCTATTAGATGTAAAGCTATTGCCGAAAAGAAATTAGAAGAGGAGGACATCGCTGAAGCCAAAAAATTTGCTATGAAGGCAGAAACTCTATTTCCTACACTTGACAATCTCTCTCAGCTCCTCAAGGTCATTAATTTCTATGATGGCTATGAGAAGAAAATAAATGGAGAAGTAAACTGGTATGGGATTCTTGGTGTCGACCCCTTGGCTGACGTGGACACCTTACGTAAAGCACACAAAAGAATGGCTCTGGATCTTCACCCTGATAGAAACAAGTCCTTTGGAGCCGAGGAAGCATTCAAAATTCTTTCTCAAGCACGGAGCGTGCTGTTTGATAAGGACAACAAACTATTGTATGATCTTAAGCTGAATTTCAGTGGTCACCAGAGGGTGTCAGTAAGAAATTCTCCACTTCCAGCGAATAAAAATATGTTTGGGAATTTCACCAGCTGCTCGAGCTCACTGTCTGAAAGGAATATAGAAACTTCTGGCAAGGCCCAGAATTTACCAACATGCCCAAAGAATCCGGCTATCACCAGGAGTTCACATTACAACCCTCCTCCTCTCTGGCCAAGGTATCAGACAACAACCGATGGTGGCCAACACATTCCCACTCATCAAAAGACTCCAGAAACAGCCACCTGGTCCCAGTTTGTTGCCACTCCACCTCAACACATGACTCCAGAAGCTGCTGCCAATTTTCCTTTTGTTCATGTTCATAATTATCAAAATCCTACAATTGCCACCAATTTTCAGTTGTTTCCCACCCAGCTTATTCCAAGGAAACAGATGCCTGCCAGGCATCATCAGTTCACTCCTGCCAACAATTTTGTGCTGAACCCCAGACCTCCTGAATCAAGACCTGAAACTTTTTGGACGTCATGTAATAAGTGCAAGATACTATATGAGTTCCTGAAGATTTATCTTGACCAAACTCTAATGTGCCCCCACTGTCGAGAGCCCTTTTTGGCGAAAGAGAGGTCTGCTCCCGCTTCTGTAAGCATTCGCAGTTCACATGTACCTTGGTCCTTCCACCATCAGAAGCCAGGTTTGTCTGCTGCAGCAGTGAGTTCCAAAAGTTCAACAGCTTCAGCTACGAGAAACACTGAAACTGCACACAGGGTCCAGTCAGTCGGTGAGTGTCTCAAGAGATGGCACAGAGAGGCAGTATCTGTGGGGGGGAGTGAGGAGGCTCTGCTGGATAAAACTGATGCTCCCTCAGCTTCAGAAAATTCGATCAAAAAGAGGCGTATAGATGGACAGAAGAGGAACAGTGGGAAAGACAGAAACCAAAGTACAGCAGGGAGCAGGGCGGCCCATACTATTTCTATGGGAAATCTAAAGGGCAATTTGGGAGCCGAAAAAGTTACTTCTGCTAGTGACCAGTTCGCAAGCACAAAGGAGTTGTCTCAATCTGAACTTCGTATCATGCTGATGAGAAAGGCTAAGACAGAAATACTTAAGAAGCTAAACCAGTGGAGCATTGGTGCTGAACTTGAATCTGCAAATGAGAAGGGCATGAATATGGAAAACAAGCAGAAATCAGCCGTTATTGATTTGAAGATTCATAAAAGTAAAATTTCTTCTTTGCTTGGTTCCAGCAAGATGGCCCAGCCTCAGAACTCTTCCATGCGCGATGGCACTGGTGAGTTAAATGAAAATGTTGAAGAAACCGTGTCAATGAGCGTGCCAGATGCAAATTTTTGCAATTTTGACGAGGACAGAGTGGAGGCATCTTTTTCTAAAAACCAAGTTTGGGCCCTGTATGATGATGACGATGGCATGCCACGTTACTATGCACTCATCCATGATGTGATGTCTAGAAAGCCATTCAAGATGGAGATTAGTTGGCTGAACTCAAAAAGCACTGCAGAATTTGGCCCCCTCAACTGGGTATCTTCTGGCTTTGCAAAAACTAGCGGTTATTTCAGAGTTGGAAAGCCTATAGTTAATAAGAGTTTGAGTTCTTTCTCGCATCAGGTTAAGTGGAAAAAAGGTGCTAGAGGGGCAATCCAGATTTTTCCAGCAAAAGGAGACGTGTGGGCTTTGTACAAGAACTGGTCCGTGGATTGGAATGAACTCACTGAAGATGACGTGATACATAAATACGACGTGGTGGTGATTGCTGAAGATTACAATGAAGACAAAGGTGTCGTTGTCTCTCCGATGATAAAAGTTGCTGGCTTCACGTCAGTTTTTCGCCAGCATTTGGACCCAATGGAATTCCATACAATTCCAAGAGAAGAGATGTTTCGATTCTCTCATCAGGTCCCGTCCTACGTGCTGACTGGTCTTGAAGCTCAAAATGTTCCAAAAGGTAGCTGGGATCTGGATCCTGCTTCTCTCCCTCTGGAACTTCTTCAACCCAAGACAGAATCCAAGGCGGTGATAGACGCTGAAAATCCATTGAAATGTAAACGGTTGGATGGAAGCAGTGAGGCAAAGAACGAATCAAGCAGCAAAGCTAACGCCAATACTGAGGATGGAGAAGCTTTTGAAAATGCCGAGCGTGGTTTCTCAAAACCCTTTTTGACCTATTCAAGAAGAGGCAAGAAAATTAAGATGGCCGGAGATACTGATCGTGCTAAGTAGCTCTTGGTCGAGCTTCTAGTCTTGTACTTTTTGTCCAAGTATAAGATGGTTCTGAGTTTGATTTTCGTAGCTAGAAAACATACACAGTTCAATTATAGCGGACAGATACAAATGTTTATTCTATCGCGGAAAAAAATGTCTTCGTTATGGAAGTTATATTAATATTCAATGGAACAGTTATATTTACACAAGCTCTTACTCATGGTTGTTAATACGGTTTGCTTACCCCGTTTGGCCCCATTAAATTAAATTTCATTTTTCACTCTTCTATTTTCAATCACACAATATTTCATAAAATAATATTACACATGCACTGAAAAAAATTTCTTCTTTTTCAATCATCCATTCTCCAAAAAAAAAAAAAAAATTAAAAAAGGGGCCAAATGGAATTTTATATGATAATAAAAAGTTGTTCTTTCATGTCAACTGCATTTCAAGATGTCAAGACATCAATCATATTTTGATCATGGATTCTGTTACATGTTGACGTGACACTTATGCCGAACCACGTGGTATCCTAGTCGAGGCTTCCAGGCCAACAGAAGTCGACCAGCAACTTAAACAACACCCATGACGTGGCTGAAATGCTGACATCAAAGTGAATAGGCTGAGGTGGTCTTTCTTGCCAAGGCCCTTCACTCCGAGGCTCATCATACAGAGGTCCTGAAACTCTAAGCAGCACTCCTCCCCAGAGATTCGGATTTACACAAGGATTTTTCCTGATTGATTGATGAGACACCCATCACAAAATGCAAGTGTCTTGTTTTGTCAAAGTAGCGTGAAATCGTCGATTAATAAATGTGTAGCAGGCTAGGAAGTCAAGTGTGATATCTATAATTTGACATGTAAACTAACTAGATGAGACCATGTGTACTACCAAACGAGGGCCACGATCTAACTTGTAATACTATAAATACTCTCCCATGCATCTCTCTGAAGGATAATACAAGATTCAATACAAGAACCAAGATTACATATCCTTTGCTCTCTTAATACATTTTATACAACAACATGTTTACCATCTTGCAATACAATACAATACTATACGAATTCATATCCACATTCTACAAACATCGATTGATAATTATTGTACAATCGTTATGCAAACATCTCGCCAAATTTCAAAATTCTTGTCCCGCGCTTTTGAGTCGCTCCCACGCCTTTGAGCTATCCATTTGAGTGTCTTAACGTATTGGACTAGACTCACGTATGCGCGGGTGAGTACGGTATCTGTTAGCAATATTTTTGGGATCAACAAATTCGATAAATAATCTTTTTGACTAGGAAGAGAATGGTCCAATACAGGATTGAAATAGTTTAAGCTTCTAATCTAATTACTTTTATTTTAATTATTTTCTCTTTATGTTATTTTATTATTTAATCAAACATTTAGCTAGGTGTTGTTGAGTAATTTTAGTCGTTAGGGATTTTGTAGCATTCGAGTTAAGACTTCATTGTAATTTAGTCATTTATTGAGCCCTTATTTGATCTCCATTATTTTGAAACTACATTTTCCTCTCTCTTATTTTTAATCACACCTTCTTCAATAAAGTAATATTCCACATAAATTTAAAATTTTTCCTTATTTTTCAACCACGCATTCTTCATCAATATACTATTCCAAAATACATTCTATAACCAAAAATGGAGCTCAAACAAGCACTAAATGAAAATATCGAAATTGGAACTGCTACAATGTTCTTTCATAGCAGACAAATTTGTCTTTCCTTTTGGATGTTTAAACAAATCAACAACAGAATCAAGTTTTATACAAGTATCTACAAGCCAAAAAAGGTCATTACATTAATGCCAATATCCATGGATATTTGCAATAAACTGCATTAGTGTTCTAAAAATAGAAATTCCGCTCAACATCATCAATCAGTGACCTCTCATCGGTGCCACTCGCTGCTCAGTCAGCATGAGTTGGTTTCAACTGCAAGAAACGAGAGTAAAGCATAGTTAACGTCTACATTTTAAATATATCAATAAGATCAATTCGGACAAACACGCCCCCCTCATAAATTGTATGCATCTCAAAAACAGTTTACTTAACAGGGAAAACATTAAACCGGAAAAAAAATACATGCAAAAGAAAAAGGATAAAAAAGGCAGAATTGGTAATAACATATTTGCATTTGAATGTTGCCAACAGCAAACCCTACAACATTAGACAATGACTAAATTTGATTTAAGAATCGTCAATATATATAAGCAAGAGATTATGATCTGCAGAAGCTGAATGAAGTTATACACTACTCTTGGGACAAATGTGCCAGATTAATCTAATAAGCATATCATAATGATATGATACATCTCCAAAAAAAAGAGCTAGAAATATGAAGAGGCTAATGAAGAGTGATCGAGTGAAGAAAATACTCAAATAGTAACAAATAATGGAAAGTAAATATTTTCAGGAACGTAATTGTTATCATATATGGTAGATCAGAATCTCCATAGTAACTTTCCATTAAGTCTAACGAATTTATTAGCAGATGAACACCAACAAATTTCTAGACTCAATAATTTTTCTCTCTACCAAGGTGATTAGCTGCCATTCTTCTAATTGCAAAATACGGATTTCTATCTCAATAATTTCTCTCTCTATCAAGGTGATTACTGTCATCTGGAACTTGGGTCCAATTCTTCTAATTGCAAAATACAGGATTTATATCTACATCATTCCTATTCCTTTAATTGAACCAAATTAGAAATCTTCATTTTCTACAATGCCTAAACGATAAAATATTTTCAGAAACAAGCAAATCAAAATGATTTTGAATTGAGTATTCGACAGTGTACTTCACCAACAAATACACCTATCCCGTTGTTCCAACTTTCCAAACCAACTCAATCCAAGATTCTCCGAACTTCTATCTTACACCAGTACCAAACCTGGAACCATAGCCACTGGAATAGGAGCACAAGTTCAGAATCATAAATGCACCTTCAACACCATTGATATGACGGCCTTTGCTCCACCATCGTTTCAAACCCTACTTCTAGACTGAAAAGGCATAACCCACCTTCGTTCTTGCAAACATTCTCCACTAGTATGAATAACTTCTTTGTCCTTTCTTTCTACGAAAAGGAATCCGAGAATTATTGCAGCAGTAACATTTTGGAAGGGAAAAGGTACAAATCTCTAGAAAGAGCAGATCAACAGACGTGGGAAGATATGCATCCATAATTAGTATTTGGAAGAACCAAAAAGAATGAAAGAGAAAGCCTTTTAAATTCTTTTAGTGAATAACCCCAAAGATATTTTTAGAATGGTGTAGTTAATATCGTTAAGGAAACTGAGTAAATATTTTCTACTAATCACTGTTGCATAACATAATTAAGCATTTCTATGGCATTTGACTTTGCTTTGAATAATTATCAAGCCACGTGGCATCACTACCAAGATTGTTTGACAAAATTAAGGATAGAAAATAAGTCCACATCATTCCAAATACTACCATTAATACGTGGTTTTTGTCATTTAATGAGTCAACGTCAAGTGTGAAACACAACCTCATGGTTCAACCAGCATCTTTGATTAGAAAGACCCATAAAAGCAGTAACATATATTCGAATATTCAGAAATTAAGATATATGCATAAAAGATAAAGTCAAATAAACAAGCCCAAACTGGATTCACTCTGGTTCCAGACCATGGAATCTAATTATCTGTTGTCCTTTGAATTCATTTTGATCTTTCCAGAGGTTGTTACACATAATCCACTCGGTGTTCAGTTTTTGCAGCACCATGGAAGCAGGATTCCCTCTTATTAATTAAAATTCATGGACAAACAAAACCTAGTCCCCCCCCCCCCCCCCCCCCCCCCCCCCC